AGTTGACACAGGACAACAGTAAATATGGTAATTGGTTCATTTTCTAGCAGGACCTGCATCATTGGGGACGTTCACCTTTTTACTGTTAACTTTGCGCCATTAAAAAAAAAAAAAACAGGGCAGTTTGTGTTCCATGTTTGAGGAGCATGTAGGATCTGCCAAGACACACAGGAAACTCAGTAAACCTGCATCTGAGTCAAACTCTGAACCTTAAACCACAAAAAGAAGAGGGTAACCTGAGCCTGAGTGAATACAGCTTATCGGTTCATCTCTATGGATGAAAAAAAGTGTCCACTTTGGTCTCTTTGCAGCAGGGTTGTGTCAAAGCATGGTGGTCTTAAGCAAACACTCACTTTCTATTCAAGAGGCAAAAACAAATTCTCCTGTGAAAAACTGTGCAGCGTCTTTTCCTTGTTAATGATAAAGAACTTTGTAGTCAGACTCTACTGCTACTCTTCTTTGGTAAGAAAAGGCTTTCCCTGGGTACTTTTGGAACCTGTCTCTAAAACAAAAATCTATTTGTTATGCTGCCACAAATGTCCCCCTCATGATGCATTCACTCTACAGTTACCTTAAAATGCATCAGAACAATAGTCATAAGGTTTCTGTTACAATTAATCAGCAATTCCCCGTACATAGAGTCAAACTTTTCTCAAAAACCCTCCAAAAGATTCTACTTTTCAGAGAAATTACATCTTATAATGTAAATATATGTCTTTCAGAGTGCATAAGTGAATTTCTGCTCCCAAATGTGCCTGTTCCAGTAGCTGCTTTTAACTTATGAGCAACATTTGCTGGTTTTGCTCCTGACGTGCTTGATCAAACACATCTACATCCAATGACAGCTCCAACGTCAAACCTCTCAGCGTGAGGGACGGGTCTGTCACATCCACCTGCCTCTCCCCGCTCCTGTCTGTTGATTTAGTATCTCCACGGCCTGAGGCAGACATTTTCTCTTTCTTTGCTGGCGTCTTGACCCCCCTTCTGGCCCTGTCCGGGGCCCTTGGCTGAGGCAGCGCGTTATTTACTGCCCAGAGAGCGCTGTGTGCAGAGAGTCAACACTGCATGGCTGGTTAAGCAAGGGAGCAACCTGCTGCTCACTCTGTCTCACACACACACACACACACACACACACACACACACACACACACACACACAGATGCACACACACATATGCACACAAACACACACTGACACAGTCACATGACCGTCCCAGGGGTTTGGCAGAGATGTTTACCACGGCACAATCGCTCCGCACAGTAGAGCTGAGAGACAAACAGACAGAGACATCCATAACTCCAGCAACTATAACCTGCCTAGGCTTTAGGTTTGATGACGTGACAAAGCAAACACCCATGAAGGCTGCAGGAAGTTCAGTCTGACAGGACATGACAGTTTTAACCCAGGTGATCTTCACAGTCAGCTGAACACAGTTGGGAACACGTCCTTTGGTGGACTTAACGCTGCAAGACATTTTGGGAGTAGCTGGTCTAAGAAAATATCTTCCCTGCATATTTAGGATGACATTCAGGCTAAGGATGTGGATGCCAATCTACGACCTAAAACTTAAATTTATTACCTTAAAAAGGTTGTCTGAAGGTAGAAAAACTCAGGCAGCTGTCAAAGAAAAACATTCCCTTTAAATTCCTGCAGCAGCTACACACACAAATGCATTCAGGTGTCCCTGAAATGTTCCTGTCTTAAGATCTAAAAGCAGAGCCGCAGTGAAATACCTTCTCCACATCCCCTCCTTCCTCTCAGTAATTATAGCCTCCCCGCTGACAAACTACAGGTCTTGTTGTGTTTATCTTAGCCTCCTTGGGTACAACAGGTGACAAACAGGCCTGGATATGCTGGGCTGGATGTCAGTCTCTTACTGGTTCTGCTAGCCAAATACGTATTAGCCTTCCTGGTACAAGACAAGCATCTGGTGAGTGAAGGGGTTACAGTCCCAGATTTAAAAAAAATAACTGTCCAAGGGGAAGGGAGGTATTTTCATTTCATCATTAAGAACCTTGTACAACAGGCTGGCTGAGACATCCAACACAAGAAAAAAAAAAACCACTCTGCTCCCTGTTATGAAATCTTCAGGGAAAAGTTTTCCATCATAAACTTGGTGAGGATGATTTATTTAGATGAGTACAGGCAGTTTAATAAGTTGAAAACTGGGTTGACTTTGGATTGGAAATAGGGGTGTGCGAGGGAGGATGAGGGAGCCGGCCGTGTGAGGGGATGTGAATGTGTTGCAAGGAAGGACTGGATCAATCTTTTATCACTGCAGTGTGCTTTCATCCCTAATGGATCCGACATGAGCAGAGCGCAGCGCTGCCTTCCGTCACATTGCACAGGCAAGAGGGGAAGGACGCACGGAAAGAACAAGAGGGAGCAAGAGAGGTAGACAGAGCAACACATTGAAGAGAAAAAGACAGGGAGAGAGAGAGAGAGGGAGAGAGGGAGGGAGGGAAAAACACCTGCCCAAAAATAATCTCAACTTGAAACATGCTAACATATTATTCCGCCAACATGCTGTCATAGCGTTTCCAATTACTTCTGGCCCTGAGTGCATCTGCAGGAGTTGGGAAACAGTCCCGATAAGGATGGTGGGAAATTAAGTCACTTCACAGCATGAAGAGGGACTTTGAATATTTCCATCAAGAATCCCAGGAGATATCTCGGTGTACAGGGGGAGACTCGCTTTCCCTGCCATACAAGCTGATGGACAGACTGACACTAGACAAGACAGACAGACAGATGATTCCAATAGAGGAGGGGAGTCCATCTGTGTGTTCAAGCAGTGAAAGAGCAGTAAAAATAACATTGCAGAGAACAAGGCAGGGTGACTCTCACAGGACGCTGTGCTCTCTCGGCGCTGAACAGACTCATTCATGTGATAGAAAAATAAGAACTATCGAGGCAGCCAGAGATACACAAAGGGAAGGAGAGGAGAAAAGAAGAGCTGACTTTAACAAGCCCAGGAAGAAAGTTTTAAACTGTAATGTGTTCGGACTGACATCGACAGACATCGTCATCCTACAGAGCTTCACAGAGAAACATGATGTAGCAGTATGTTACATCATCACCTCTGTCCATTAAGTACCTGAGCCGAACATAATCACTTTCACATTCTGCCATTTACAGGTCATGAATAAATTAAATTCAGCACAACTGGGGATGATATGGAAAACTTGGCTTGAAGAATAAGTCCAAGTACCTGAAACTCAGGGCTCAACACTAACTTCTAAAAGTGGTTGCCATACTGACCTCCAGGGATCAGCCATTGGTTGCTAGGCATGGAAAAATGGTAGCCAATTTGCTGTACTTATATTTTCGGGGAAATTAAGAAACTCTATTCAGTATATTTATTGTGTAAATTTGTTCATTGGGGTAAATTGCTAAAATGACTTGTAGTTTGTGTTTTATCCAGTACTTTAAAGCTCCTGATAGAAATGTTCAGCTTGCGTTGATTTTGGCGCCCTCTGTGGACAAAGTGGTGCATTTTTACATTTTTGCAGATCTCTCTTCTACATGTGTTAAGTGGTGTTTTCAGGTGAAAAATTATCTGATGTCTTTGAACAGTCACATATATCCCTCAAAGAGAACATTTGCTTTGGAACAGCCAAAAGTCTGTTTTGTAACTCCCTTTGTCTGATGCTTACCTAGCAGCAGTGGTTACAAGCATTACAAGTGACTGTACAGAATGTCTTACCTCTTAAGGTTTCGTTTGCTTTTGTAGGTCATATGGAGATAATGGAGAATGACCCATTACAAATTGATAAGAAAAGTACCTGGTTGCTGGTTGAACTATATTCACATTCATTTATGTAACATTTACCTCTGGCATGTTTGGGATAGGTTAGCTAATTACTCAGAGTGGTTGCCAATGCACTTTCATAGTTGTTCCTGTTAAGCACTGAAATGTTTCAAGGGAAAAAGGTCAACAGGAGCTAATATGTTTGAACAAAGCTCATCTGGTGCACGTTAACACGACAGTAAAAGAAACACAAGTGACAGTAGGAAACTTCAAGCCAACATTAACAAACAAATGCAGCTATGTTATGATGTATACTTGAGTCAAAGTTGTACATTTGTCTCCACCACCTACAACCATCTGCTCTCTGACATTATCTCTCTGAAACCAAGTTCACACTGTGAAACACGTAAACAGAGATAAAACATGAGGTATTACTGTGCAACTCCCACTGTCAGGAAAAAAAATAATCAGCTCCCAGGGGTGAGGGGTTGGAGGGGTTTCCAATCGATGGCCATGATTGGAGAACAAATTCAGACTGCTAATGAGGCTCCAAGTCGCACTATCTGACACATACCATGCTGGGAAATGTTAAATAAGATGCTAGTTGTGCATAATGATGAGTCAGTGTTTTAAATAGGCTTGGTTTGCTGCTTTAGACTTGCACGGTGTTTGTATTAGAGATGTGTAGCATGTAAACAGTTAAACGCGGTTCAAACATGCAGCGAGTTGGCTGAACTCTGTCCATGCTCGCCATTAATTAATCTTTAATCCTACTGTGGCAAAAGGAGCTGCTTGTGTGGGAGACAGTCTGACAAGGTAAGTACTAAAAAAGAAACTGCACGGAGAGGCCGGTTCTTTGATTAACCTCTGAAGTTCTCTACACACATAAAGAAAAAATGCCCACAAAAAAAGTGAAAAAAAACCGGTGTGAAGTTTCACCCAAACAGGTTTGGGTCCTTTTTTTCTACACAAGGAGAACACTTGGGTGGCGGGTCTTGTGTCAACAGGTACATGTTGAAGACACAGCGCAACTCCCCAAAGACAAGACACAAGATTGTTTGTCTGCCATTCACAGAATCACACACAAGCTCACATGTATAAAAGCCTAATAGCTGTCATCATGTGCATGCTGGAACACATAGCAAAGCCACAGCCAGATAGACTGACTTAGGAAAAAACTTCCTGACACTGTCATTCAAACCAGCAAGGACACATTCAAACAATCCCTGAAAGAAGCTCTTACACTCACCCAGCAAGAGGATTGTATCCTTTTCTTCAGCAGTTTTAATTCTCTCTGTCGCTTTTTCTCAGTCACAGGGAAATCCTTCACTCCTTACAGAGCAGCAAAGCCGGTTGTGCGGCCAGTATGCGAGAGCGGCAGCGAATGAGCGAGAGAGAGTGTGTGTCTGTGTGTGTGTGTGTGTGAGGAGCGTGCAGGTCCAGCAGAGGTCAGAGGCAGTCGAACGTGGTCAACAGAGAAATTTAAAGGATGTCGTGAGGTCTCCACTCTATCTTGCTGTCCTCTCCTCGCTTGCTGCCTCAGGAATGTACTTCTTCTGCGCTGTCCTCAGCACAGCCAAGATCTGAGAGACTGCTGGAGTCCTCTCTCTCTCTCTCTCTCTCTCTCTCTCTCTCTCTCTCTCTGTGTCTGTCTCAACCCCTCCTCCTTCCCTCTGTCTCTCACCCACACAAAAACACACCCTTCCCAGTCACTCCTCTCTTGCTCACTCTCTTTCTCCCCACCCTTTCCTGCTGTGCTGACAGATCAGGTACATCCCACTTTTTCAGGTAGTTGAAAGCGCGGTTTCGGCTTTGTCGTTCTCTTCCTGTATCAATTTTCTCAGTATTTCTCTTTTCATCTACACTCCCCAAAGGCACAAAGGACGGCCTGTAATGCAACTCAGCGATAAGACCAGATGAACTTGAAACTCTTTGCATGCACGTGTATTTACATACGAATCTCTTCTGTTTGTACGGTCTATAACTTGAGGCATTCTCTGACCTCCGGTCATGTGAACAGCTGATTACACAAATGAGTCTGTCAGGTGATTCTCTCTTCCTATATCCTGGAATGAGGTCATAGTCCGGCAGACCAGGTGCAATCAGAGAGACTGCGTTTATGTCTGTGTTTGGGTTGGACAACGCCCTGTGGGAAACATTTCTAAATCTGACCACTCTGTTCCAGAAAGCAACACATGTACAAAACAAAAGCCTAATCGAGCGGTAGAAACTGCTCCACTTTCAATTATGGAACAATGTCACAGTCCTGAAACGTGCTTTATCTCCACAGACCCCTCCCAACCACCAACACAGAGCTAAGACATGCGTGACCAATGGGTCAGGCACAACATGTGGGACCCCCCTAAGTGTGAGCCAACCCCCCCGCCATTTTTTTTTCTCACAACTATCTTTTCCTATCATGACGTCTTCCTAAAGTTTGTTCATTAATAGCTTCTTTTGTCTTGTACCTACCCCCCTACCGATCCCTGCCCATACAACCTGAAACCAAGACTGGCCACTGGAGGAATACCAACAAGATCAAAGTCAGACGCTACTGTCCCTCAACAACATCTGAGAAAGCTGAATACGTTTGACCTAGATTCTGTGTTAAGTAAAATCCTTTATTAGCCTTCAGACTTTTTAGATACGGTGACGAGTTATAAGTATACAGCTAAGTAAATATATTAGCAGCTATAACTGTCACATTACACTGGGAGCAAATCAAGCACACCCAGCGGTAGAAAAAGAACATGATGACGCATTTACAAGATACCAACATTTAAAAAAAACCTTATTACCTCCCCCAGCCCAACCAACTCTTAAATGCAATATAGATGTTATTAACTAAGAGTTTCAATGGTGGGTGACAATATATTTTTAACATTTACTTACCTAATTTTTAAAGGGTGCTCTAAATGTATTGTATTGGTCTTAGACAATGATGTCACTTCTAAGCTGCATCCCAGGCAATCCTTTACTGTTTACTTTTATTACTTCTCCGCCAATGCTGATACAACTGGGACAAAATGACATCAACTGAATTTTAGATTAAGAACTGATGCATTGCTTGAACACCTCTTCCTGGTCTGTTTGACCATCTACGTAAATGTTACTTTATCAGGCTTGTTGGGATCTCATGTGTTAGCCAAGGACTTCATAATGAAACACATTTTGTCACACATTGTGTTATAATTCTGAGGCAGAAATTTCCAGGAAGGAAACAACATTTCACAGTAAGATAAAAGGCAGAAAACAACTTGATACAATTACCACTTTTTTCTGCACCATTGATAAATATTTAACTTTAAAAAAAAAAAAAAAGCCATTGTAGTTTCAGGACTCAAACTCCATGTCTTCAGCAGCAGCAGCAGACCATCGACAAACCCTTCTTCATCCTCGTATTTACTTTGCCATTATCTTACATCACACTGTTATCCAAACAGACTAATGAGGACAAGCAGTCACAGGATCTAATAACCAGTGTGCACAATGTATAAAGCAGATGCTCCAAAAATAAACGTCTTGCATTAATTGTGTTCATTTCGATGTATTCAATCGTGCAAACAAAAGACCACAGAGAAGAACGCCATAGCCTTTAGCCAGGCTGAGTCAGAGAGGCCCACAGAGAGTCACGGCACATCTACCGCCTCACTGTTCTGTCCATGAAGTAAAGCTTTTGGCACATCTAAAAGCTGTGTTTGTCTGACAAATCACTTAAAACACGCTCAGTTAGGGGGGGGAGCCTCCGGAGGCAGTGCTTAGGTACTAAAGGCCACAGTGAGAAAAGGCTGAGGTGCTGAGGAGGACTGACATTTTAAAAGCACCAGAGAAGTAAGTACACTTTATAGCTTCTGACAGGCTAATACCATTCAGTGGATCATGTGCTTGTCCATCTCCAGACCCAAACCAGGTTAATTTAAGGGCTTTTTTTTTATCTATAAGACATGAGTGAAGAAAGGTTAATGGTGAGTCTTCCTTTTTGGAGAGTCTGAAGATAAAAAGAACAGAGCTCAAATCAGAGTGGGTGGGTGGGGGGTGATGTGCAGTGGAGGATTATCAGTCCAAAGACTTCTCTGGCACCTTCCAGGCATTCCTCAGGGCACCTCCTATTGCTGCACCTCCCTCATTCCACCCTCCCCTGTCAAACCCCACATATCATCCCTCTTTCTCTACGTGACTCAAGCATTCTTTTAAACCCCCCTTTCCTCCTCCGCCAACCCTCCCTCTGCTTTCAGCAAAAGTCGCTAAAGACAACAAAGACAAGGCCTTAAAAGCTTTAAAACCTGCGCTTTAAGTGGAACTCCTGCACTATTTCGCACGTCTTTTCCATTTATCCCAATTGAGAAAGGCTGAAATGCACTCGACTCCATGCTCTACATAGCTGTCTGGCTGCCTTCAATCACCACATACCACTAAATGAATACCTCAACAAGTGATAGTAGGTGTAAATGTGTCCAAAGTGCAGAGCGCTAGCCGTAACTCAGCTCAGAGGAGACAGGAAGATGGCTCTCAGGCGGAGAAACAGACTGGTGGGGTCTGGCAGCAGTTCAATAGGTTCTGTGGAGGAGAGAAGAGTGAGGGGAATACATGCTGATAGTGTCTTTGTTGGCCATTATTCACAGAGAATGAATAGCATTAAGTTGCTGCTACGGCTCACCCCTTCCAGTCTTCCCTCTGGAAACCCCAACCCCTTTTTCTCTCTTTATTTATTCAGGCTTTCTTTTTGTTGCTAAAAACAGCCTTCAACAGGTGGACAACAGGTTGATAAAGGTCGGTCAGTAAAATTAAATCACAGCAGACTAGTTTCAGCCGCCCAACAAACTTTTGTTGACATCAGTTTTCAGACTCATGACAGGCAACGCAAGGTAGTAATGCTCTGTTTGTGCCAAACAGTCCTAAGTATAGCCTTTCTGTCTCATTATGGTCTGGCCAGCGATGTTTCTCCAGAAGTGAAGCTACGTCTTGTGTATCATTATGACAGTGGAGATGGCTTTCCCCGTTGAAGGTAATTGCACTGTTGAGATGTAAATACAAAACATTCAGTATCAAAGCACACAAAGACTTTTGTTTTCTTCCAAGAAAGCTGGCTGGCATGGTGATTCATGTTTTGGATATCATCTCTATTCAAATTACAACAGTTGTATTGGAAGGATATCAACAAGGTGAACCTGAGGACAAGAGATAGCCGAGGAGTGCAAAGTGACAAATGCAGAAAGAGACGGTGAATTTATTAAAGATTAACACTGTTGGTAAACAAACTCTGCATTCCTTAAAACACAGGATAGAAAAAAAGCTGTATTCTTCATCCCATCTTCTCAGCCTTTAGAGCACACTTATTCAGCATATAAGAACATCTCTGTTGGCTTTTAGCAGCTTCCAAGTTGTGAGAAGTTTGGCTGCGCTCTGGCACCCTTTCTCTATCGTCCCTTTCTCCCTTGTTATTCAGTACCAGCCCAGGCTGGCTCAGGACCCAAGTGAAAGAAAAAAAAATCCTGCTACCTCTCACATGGCCTTATTTTGCCTTTAAGAGACTATAAAACTATTTTTAGGGGTGAAACAAATGTGGCCCATAATTATAAGTTGCAGCACTGTTCGTCAATGTTGTAGCTAACTAGCGCCTCAAAATGTTTCATCTCCTTCCTTCTTTCCCTCTTGGTAAGCCAGTTAGTTTCCATCCTACTTCTAGATCTATAGCTAGTCCCCTGCTTGAGATAAAACTGTATCATTAGTGTCACACTGGGTTGCTCCAATCTGTAAATAGGCTGCAGTCAGCCAGGTTGGTACCCGAAGAAAGCTGAAAAGGTTGTTTTACATTTAATCAACAAATTGTAAACAGAATGGGATGTGATGTTGAAGCAGGGCATGGAACCACTATCACCTTCTAATGCAAAACGTGCGAGTGATCCTGGGACAAAATAGATTCAAAGTCTAAAAGACACTGCTGCTGCTGCTGCCAGCTACCGCTTCGACAAAAGCCACCTGGCTAAGACACAGATTTCGAGGAACCAGACACATGAGGAACAACCTTGGTTAAAGCCAGCACATGTAAACTGAGAGAACAAGGAAGCGTAGATTAAAGTGGGAAGATGAGATATTGGTCTGCTCGCGGCTTGGAACGGTTGATTTAATGGGGATCTCTGTTAAAACAAAAAAAACATTTTAAAAGAGGAGTACTGGATGACCAGGAAATGCAAGTCAGGTGGGAACAGGTCAGGGGTCGGAGGTGAACAAAAGCTCTCTAAGCCCCACACAGAGTGAGGCAGAGGCCCGTCGGATGCACTCAATGACGCCCGGACAGTCTGTCTACACCTTTCCCTACACACCTCCGCCTGTAATTTGCTTGTCAGACAATGTTTTCTTACATCTTTTGTCGAGGGCTTTCTCATCCTCCTTATAGACTTAGATGTCAGCCTAACTTTTCTGTCCATTTATTCACAACACTGTGTATCTGAAATACAAAGTGTGTGTGTGTGCGCGTGTGTGTGTGGGAAAGGACTATCCAAACACCTTTGGGAACAACAGCATTAAAAGCTTTCACTGCACCGGGCCTGTCATCTTTTCCTTTCTGTTGCTCTACTGGATCAAAGGAACGCTGTGGCTGTGGTATGAAAGTCGTTTGTAGCTACAATCATGCACTTAACAAAAACAGAAATATAGGCCTGCATGCACACAC